GCACACCCCTAATTTCATAGTTTTTCAAACTACCAAATCATTTTCTTATTTCCTGAAGACTCCATAACCCAATGCCAAACAGCCCAAAACTTACAGGAAGACACCATCCACTTCATTAGGTTGAAGCCTGAAACTGAAACTGTGTCTAAAATCAGTCCTCTTTTCTGATGTTTTACGTTTTTTTTCTCCTTTCCTTTTTTTATGTTGACCTCTTTGAAAGGAAGGTTTATATGCTGACTGACCATGATACATCCCCTAACAAAATATCTTAAACTTTCTCCTAATATCTTTATGTACAAACAGACAAAGACAAGAGTGAGAGTGAGTGAAAGATAAGAGAGAAAAAAATATATAAATAAATAAAGAATCTGCATACTGACCTATAGGCATCAGCAAATGTCGGCTGGATGCGGATTGCCTCCTTGTAGTGCATGAGTGCCTCATTGAGCTTCCCTTGCTGTTGCAGGATGGATGCCAGGTTGGAGTGTGCAGCTGCAAACTCAGGGAACACCTCCAGAGCCTTGAGGTAGAGGCGAGTTGCATCCTCGGTGTAGCCCTGGTAGAGGAGCATCTATGTACACACTGGCGTCAGAAGTTTCGATACTTGGCACCCAGACATCTTAACTGATGACACTTGAGCACTATGTATCACGAATGGTGACAAATTTCTTTTTTTCCTCTTTAAGTTGTAAAATATATTCTAAAGACAATTTCTAAACCCCTTCAAATTAGTTTGTTATAAGAACCTTGATTCCATATGTTCTGAATTAAACCTTTGATCTCAGTACTTACCTTGCTCACCCTGTCATTTATCAAAGCCTACAGATGCCTTTTTCAAACATTACTAATAATTGTTGAGATCTTAAGGACGTCCTCCTTACACAATCTATTACCCAACTTCATAGAATTATAGGCAAACTAGGAAACTTAATGTAAGTAGACAACACATCAAAAAGAGGAAAAAATCAAAAGAAATATATCAAAAATATTACTCAATTCAAAGGCCTTACTTTACAAATGAGGAGAGCACAAGAATATTGCTGCAACCAGCAAACTTGATCATTACATCTTGCAATACATGTACAATTGCTATTTCAAATAAAAGTAAACAACTTCTGGCAATTTCTTGCTACATTCCACTTCAATTTTAAGCAACAAAAAAAGATAAGTCATCAACTCGCAACCCAATCGACTATTCAAAATAGAAAGTAATATGCATTGCACAACAACTGCATTCTCAACGATTGTATTCAAACAGGTCAAAAACAGCAGTGAAGAGAGAAAATAAATCTACTAAGAACACATATATGTATCTATAGCTGTCTACTTTATATGTATATACTTTTCTTTTTTTTTCAATGGGGAGGACAGCAAAGAGGAGTGATACAATTACTGGCTAGCCTTACCTGCTCCCTCTTGATGTTTGCCAAATTGTTCAGAGAGTCAGCATGAGTAGGACACAGTCGAAGAGCAGTGTTATAGCACTCTTCAGCCTCTGTCACCTGAAGAAAAAGGAATTAATTTAATAATAGAATAAATAAATAAATAAATAAACAAATGAAAAAAAAAATAAAAAAAAAAAAAAATAATAATAATAATTATAATGATAACAAAATAGGCATCTACAAACAACACCTTTTCATGAAGTAGAAATGGAAATGGAGGAGCAGAGAGGAGATATTTAGAAAAATTTATTTCAATCTAATTCCAACATGCAAATAATCCTAGCAGTACAGGACACAGCTTACCTGTCCTTTCTCCTTAAGTGCATTAGCCAGGTTACAATAGGCATCTGGGAAGTTGGGTTGCAACTCAATGGCACGCCGGTATGTGTCAATGGCAAGGTCAATGAGTCTGAAAGTACATAGCGGAATCATGGTTTGGTAACGAAGTCAACACCTATTTATTCCTATTTTTTTTTATCTTTACTAATCAACTCGAATAAAAAACATGCCTTTCATGTATGAAATTTTTACAAAGATTCCTAGTTCTTGAGGAAAGCATTTAAATTTAAGTTTACTTTGTTATTAAAAGATATAAACATAGAGAAAATCTAATCAGATATCATACAAAACTTCAAATACATGTCACCCTCAATTTTTTTTTTTTTTTTCTTTTTTTAATTTTCAAAGTTTTTCTTTCTTTCTTTCTTTTTACTTACCCTTGTTCATAGTATACACAGGCCAGGTTACCATGCACAACTGCATGATTTGGAGAAAGGTTCAGTGCACGCAAGTACGCAGCCACTGCCCTGTTACAAGGAAAATTTAAGGTTTAATAAATAAAACAATATCAAAATAAATGTGCCAACAAACTACAATAACAAATACATTACTGCTTTTATCTTGAATCTGAGTGTATGAGTAAATGTATTGTAAGTGTATTACTGAAGATATTTCTGTGGAAAGAAAATAGGAAGCAGAGAGAAGAGAGAGAGAGAGAGAGAGAGAGAGAGAGAGAGAGAGAGAGAGAGAGAGAGAGAGAGAGAGAGAGAGAGAGA